AGTATCAGGAAAACAATTTAGTGGTTACTAGAAGTTAGCATGGATTTGTCATGAACTAGTCTTGCCCAACTAATGTTATTTCATTTATATTTCTTGTTCAGTATAGTGTGGATGCTGTAGATATTAATGTTAAGTAGATACAGGTTTCCTTCCCTTTATGCAGATTCACTTGATTCAAATTTGCTATTATGGGATTAATATTAGATGGGAGTAGGGGAACATAAAAGGTTAATATGTGGAAGACTATATCAAGTTACAAAACACTCTAATATAGTGAACTAGGTGCTCATTAAATCTATTTTATAAAGTTGAGTCCCAAGCACAGATCACCATCCAATGAATTTTAAATGCATATAAGACTTTAAGGTGACAACCAGCATCTTGAATTGCACCCGGAAGCTAATGAACATCCAGTTTACCCCGTTAAGCAGTGGTCTTATATGGGTGATTTGAGATGTGTCCATAACTGATTGAGTCATGACTTCTGAATGTTTTTCAAGGGCAGCCCTTGTAGAATGTGTTGAGTAATCCAAGTGAAAGGTGACTAAGACATGAGTGACTGTGAAGAAAGCCTCCTGTTCCAGGAGGATTTATAACTGTTGCACAAGTTGGAACTGTGTGAAGGCCCTCTTGGCCACAGCTACCACTGGCTCATCAAGCAGGAGCTGAGTCAAGGAGGATTCCCAAATTATGAACCCATACAGAAGAGTGTGGCCCCATTCAGAATCAATGATACAATTGAATGGTTCCCAAACCAAGGCTACTTTCTCTTGCTACAATTGAGCCTGTTACTCCCTCATCCTGATCCTAACAGTCTCCAGGCACTAGCATAGTAGGATAGTACCTCAGTGACATCACCTGTTCAGCCCAGGGTCAAGAGGTAAAACTGAGTATCATCTGGAGAATGATAATACTTGACAGCTTGTTGTTGGATGATTTTCATTTCATCACCTCTCTGGAGGCTTTCATCAACCAGGAAAGGCAGGGATACAAACTGCAGGTAGCAGGGCTAATCTCATAGAAACCACTGTCTACTTCTTCAGGATTTATAAAATCAAACTTATTCCAGATAAGACAGATAAGGTCTTGGTTACCATATTATAATATGCCCAATTGGCATCCTGCTGCAAGTGGAACTGGGGTATTCTGTCCTCCAGATGTGTAGAGGAGCATGGAAATGGCCTTGAAGAAGGTATTCAACAGTAATGAGATATACCATTTTAGGCTAGGAAGGGAGGAATGAGTGGAAAAGAAACTCAAGATTGGCCCACCTGATTCTTTTTTGTATAAAAGAAGGAGAGAGAATCTCTGTCAGGCTTTCAAGATTCTGTTATTATACCCTACATCAATATAGTAGAGTTCTGGTAGTTCTTGTGAAATCTGTTTCCTGACCTGGCCTCAAAGAGCTGACAAGATGTCTGAAAATTCCTTGCTGTCCCCAGTAAATGTTCTTCTGGCCTATCCTTCTGACATATACTCTGAGCCTTTGTTCATCCCTTTTTGGGGTGTATGTGTGCACTTTAGGCTACTATCTTTCAGGTGAAGCCTTTGATTGCATAATGAACTACTGTTGGGAAAGGATTCTGCATTTGGCTTTAGTCTCCATGGCCTTCTTTAAAAAATATGGATATGCTTGTGTGGGCGGTAGAAACATGGACCTCTGTTGAAACTTTTTATAGGGCATGGATAGAGATGGATAAGGATAGAGGTGGGGAGATTGCAAGTAATGAGTCTATGGGGAAATTAAAAGTAGATGGGTAATGATGATCACATTAAAGATTTGTAGTTGATACTACAAATGAATGGGTTGGTCATCTTTCATGTTTCAAGTAGCTGCACCTGACTTTTCAAAATTTTGTAGTTCTGTAATTCTTCCAATTGAGATGGCTTGCATTAATAGATATATGTTAGCCCCATAACATATAATATATATTTAGAACTTTAGAGGTGGTGACTCGCTCCTTGAATTGCACCCAGAAGCCAACTGGCAAGCAGTGGAGTTTGCAGAGCACTGGGATCCTATTACTGCCTGTGCTGTGGTTGATTTACTCTATTATTCTGTAAATAGAATAATTACAGAAGAAATATCTCATCTTCACCAATATAATAAAAAAGTAAGATTTGGCATCTAAAATAACATTATGATCACAAGTTCCATTTGTTTACAACCTGATTGTACTCAAGGTTAATTTTAAAATATCCTTGCTATATTTTATCTATCAATATATCACTTTCTTATTTTTAACTTTATTAAATTCCCAGAACAGTGATCTAGAAACCCATATCTCTATCCATGATTCAGGTGATAGAACAGAATTTGCTAAGTTTTAATTCCTCAATTTTGTGCTGAAGTTTTCTTTTAGGTTCCTTAGTTTGAGAAGGCCGGTTTGAATAAAACCTGACAAAGCTTCTTGTAAATTAAAGCAGTCTATATGCTGTACTTACTTAATTTGTTTTATGAATTTGCCCAATGTAATTTAGATGTTTTATATATGCTAATTTATAACACAGGGGCTGGGTGTTTGAGATAACCCAGATAAATAAAGAATAGTATTCTTATTTTTCCTTCCTCTCTATACAGGTCATCTGGAACTATTTTGCTTTTATGAAAAGCTAAATCACATCAAAAACAACTATGCATTAATGAGATACTGGAAGGGGAAAAACACTATCTAAAAGAATGAATAGTGAAGAGGAATTCTATGATGCTGTCACAGGTAAGTCAGCACAATGTAACGTCTAAATTTGTAGGAAACCAGGATGCTGTGTCTCTGTCCTGTGGCATACATATAGTGATGTTGGGGAGGCAGCTGTCTTGGGGCCCATAGAACCTGCTGGGTTCCCCCCTTCCACATTCCTTGTGCCTTCAAACGTTTTCTGTCAACAAAACCCTCTGTTCGCATAAGGCCCCAACAGGATCCTTAGTGGAGGAGCACCACCACCACAGTCTCACCACCACTGCCTCCTGCCCCTGAGTCGACCACTGCCGTAGCAGCAGCCTGTAGTGGAAGCAGAGCCCTTGGAGGTCCTAGCTCCCTGCTGTCCTTTCTCTTACTCTTCTTATTGTTCCCCTTCCTGCTTGTGAAGGACTCCAGAGTTTTTCAGGGGAATGGGTACAAGCACAGAGAGGTCTGCTTATTCCCCTGTTTCTCTCATTGTTGGGTAGTTATTTTTGCTTGGGAAATTGCTTTCCTCCCTCCCTCCCTCCCTCCCTTTTTGTTTTGAATTTGGCAAATAGGAGATACAGGCAACATCTCCGAACCTTATGGTACTCACTCTTAAGTACCTTAACTTAGTACCCTAACTCTAGCCTCATTCATTCATTCATTCATTCATTCATTCATTCATTCATTC